GCCAGATTTGAAGCTACTGTAAACTCGATGAGGACGCTGACGTTGAAGATGATGCATGCAATGTTCCACACATCAATGGCCTTGATATAAGAGACACGCGGCAAACTGGAGGACACCCCTGATGCCTGAGTGAGGATGCTCAAAAGGGTCAACAGTCCAAGAGTAACCCTGGCCGGTTTGGCGTCAAGGTCGACCCAAAAGCTGTGCCAAGATGCCACGATGATCAGAAAGTTGGGAATGTAAATGCTAGATAGCCAAGACCCTAACTGACGAGACAATATAAATTTGGCCTCCAGGCAAGTGTAGTCACCGGTGGACGTTGAGGAAAGTGAACTGCAGTCGTAAGCTGTCACCTCTTCCGGACTATTGAATTCGGATATCTGCATCTTCTTGGTAAGGTCTACTGGAGTGTGGTTGCGCCAAATGAATTTTAACTCATTAAGTTCGTAGCCATAGCTGCCAATATTCATCAAGCACTCTTGGCTGTCCATTGGGAATGTCTGAAGCTCCATTTGGCAGGAGAAGCGCATTGTCAGCTTCTGGCTGTAAAGAATCATTCCGCTGGGGTCTATGCGGGTAAGATAATTGGGACAGGTCATTTTGTGCAGTCTACCCTCCTTTCCATTCCGAAAGAACAGATCGGGAAGCCATAGTTTCTGTTTTAATTCCGGAGAGACAAGATTTTTTGTGTAGTTCTTGAACTTGGGAATGCTGTTCCAAGCCAGACGAGGGTCCTTCCACTCCTGTCTTAGAAGCAAATCTGCAGTGTACTCCATCATGCGAACATCAACTGAAGTTATAGCCGTCATTGTTATGTAAACTGTGACTTCCGTTGTCTGTTTCGCAGTCGCCCCTGGTCGTTCGTGATTCTGGTAGTTTTTAAACAAGTGGTCCATAATCTGCTCTCGAACTGAGGTAACATTTCGCAGTAATTCTGACGTATAGGGAGCTGTGATGCCTGGTTGTTCACCTGAAAAGCCCCATGACGGGCGTAGGCAGAGACAGACAGCAACCACTAGAGCAATGACCATAGTTCAAGCATGCGTTCAACCCTGTATTCTAAGTCTGTTGCCTTATTGAAGGCAACACAGCACGGCTAAAGCAAACACTACCGGTCAAACCAAAAACCCACTGGCAGCAGCAGGCGATCGATCCTGCTAGGTTAGCTCTGCATTTCCCCTGTCCGCTAACAGCCAATTAGAGAGCTGGATGGCTAGCCAGATGCATTTATCGCGTTCCCATTGGTCAGCCCATCATGTCCTCAAAGATATGCACTGTTTAGGAGATGGGCGGGGTGACTGCCGCATTTTCAGCCTGCGGGCTGCCACAATGGCGGTATATTTACAAACCTTTTGCAAACGTGGGGACCGTTGGGGATTAGGTAAGGCATAAACAGAGTAGTCGGAGGCACTGTCCCTCAAAGCCAACGAGCAAGCTTCTTGATCTGATCTCAAGTTCTGCTTGTGGTTGATTCCTTCAGTTTATGAGCAAATATTGCGGGAAGTCTGATGTACCTATGATGGAGAAGATGCGACGTCCAGACAACTTATGGAATTTAGTAGGGTTGGGGGGTGGGGAGCGGATACATTTTAGACATATAAGGATAGTGACGAGGAAAAAATCACATACGCAGACAGGGAATACTTCTGTTACAAAATTCAAATAGAAACTATGCCTCCTTATTCGCTGCATATCCCGCGTGGTTACAAACCGGATAATTTTCATTTTGGCCTTGAACTACCCAGTCAAGTCAGAAATTAATTCAAATAGCTTGATTAACGCATATAACCCAGTTAATTGGACATGCTATCACTCAAAGGGACGATACGACGGTTTAATTATTCAAGGAAGGTCACTTTCTCACAGAAAAGTACTGATGCTTCTTTTGGGCGATTGGAATTAACTTGAGTCAAGTTTCTTGTAGGCTGACAAGCGTAGTGTGGGCAGTTTGTGACCAAGTTATAAGGAGGACTGTGCCCATACGATGCAAGATTGGCCTTTCAAAGCAATTACTTGTACACATTAGTTAGTGTACTGGTCCTGAAAGTACCTTGATTTACGAGCTAAATTTTAGTTATTCGAAAGATTGGGAACCATGCTCGTTGAAATTCTGCATATCTCTTTACGAACTGGGAAACATCTTGGATTTGTCGACCACTCACCGAGGGGGCGTTACAAAAGGCCCATAAGCAAAGGAAGCCTTCTGACTTAACAGCAAATATCCCACATGCGTGATGTTAGCGTATAATTAACTTGTAGTATAAGACACAGGTTAGTAGCGTCCATCTTGCGTCAGAATTATGATTATTCGCCCTATATGCTCCTAATACTCAATGATTAACAGGGCAATCAAGGCGGTGCCTTTCAACACTAGATTTTCAGCAGTTTCATCTAAAGCTTGCGTGCGAGACTCATTTGCGCATTTTTCATTTGCGGATTCATTTCTCCATTATAGATTGTACTGTTAGCAAATATGGATAACAGGGTAAAGAGGCGCAGGAGATGACTTCTTGTCACTGGCCACATCCCACTCAGGCAGACGATGACCTCTGCTACGAACCCCAAAATCTGCGAATCCATGTCCTTGCTCCTTGCCTGTTTTCGTAGCAGATGTCAAAATTATTCCAAAAACAACGAATCCCTTTCTACAAAAGTATTGGACTCGCGCTATCCGTCGTACACGTCCCCTGAAAAAATTGGAGAAGCAAAGAATTCAGCAAAAACTGATCGAACTTTTGCTGCATTAGAGGATATGGTAAATGAAAAAATATAAGGTAAATGCGGGCGGTGAAAACTTAGGTTTCAAATGAATTTTTAAAAATCCTTCAACTATCTGGACATTATCTAAGTCCGGGATGCAAGGAAATGAAGTTCGCTTCCGTACTCAAGGTCTTTTTGAACCCACGATGCCTAGCGTTTAATTTAATTCGTTGGTGTTTAATTATGTTCTTGACTTCAAACTCTATGCTCGCTTCAGAGAATGCGGCCATGAATAATCATAATTTGAGTCATTTAATTGTCGTGGTGTACCACTGGTCCTTAAGTAACGTTATTTTCCAAAACAGTTGGAATCTTCGTTCAATAGTATTCTACACCAGAGCGCTTTTTTCCATATACGCGTGTTCCCGCTTGCTCTTGATAAAAGCTATAACCTCTTGGCATAGATTCTTCTGGTCTTTGGAAGGCTCACGCTTTTTTCATTAATCACGTACTGCTGTCTTTCACTTTTTATCCTATGCAATAGCCGTTTACCTATATTTGCTGCATAATGGTTGCTTGGGGTGCGTAAATTCTAGAATTATGGGACACACCCCTATGGTCCAAAGCCCTGAACAATCATCAACTGTCTGTGGCACAGTTTTACAGGGGTGCGTTCCACAATCTTTTATCCGCGAAGACCAGACATTCATAAACTTGTTCTCAACTATATAAACAGTACTCTATTTTCCAAATGCAATTATATCTTTTCTCTTCAATGTAGCAGCAACCAGCAGACCCCTGCAGATTTTAGCAATCTACTGTCCTACCCGTGAAGTCAAATCTCAAACTTGCGAATGTTGATTTCCGCGAAATGTGAACTTTTTGAAAATCTGCAGAAACCTTTAGTTTCCGGGAAACGGAGACTGTAACGCTGAAACCCAGATTAAATCTGACCGTCCAGCAGGAAAGCAACAACCAGAGACGTGGTCTACAAAATGTTCGAGAAGTGCAATACACTGCCGAATTGCAATCGTCTTCACTGTGGATAGTAGGCCTTATTGTTGGAAGTTCCCGCATTTCGGAGCATTCTGTGTATAAGCAAAATAGTCTTCTCGGTTCTGTAATCGCAGTATCCCAAAGCCAGCAAGAGGACAAGTTGATGCAGGGTAGTTGTTCTCAGTTACCCGTTTGTCGTGATACATTATTCCATATTCCTCCGGCTCAAAAGCTCCGGATTGTCCGCAATTTGCAGGAGCTTAAGGACGATGGGAAGAGAGATCTTGGAATAGTAAAGCCTGTTCCCTTATTTAGTTCCTTCTTCATTTTCTCGTTTCCTCTTCTGTGTTTCACTTTAATTTGTATGCTTGTATCGACCCAAATGTTTGGAATATATTTAGAATATCTGGCAGGACATTTCCACATTCCTGAAAGTTATTACTCGAAGTTCCCACAAGCGCAGAAGTATCGTTAAAAGTAATTAGGCGGGAAAGCCTGCAAGTATCAAGTATGCACGTTAAAGGACCTGGACGAGGTTTCTACACCAGACAGTTCCTACAGGTAGTTAGCGTTGAGGCAATCGCCGCATTTTTGCTGACTGTCACATTCGTGATATTCTTAGGCTTTTGAACGTATCCAATGTGTGCTGGCATAAACTTCCTCGAAAACTGGAAAAATCGCATTTTCCGAATTCTTTCTGCGGACTGCGACCCAGCTTGTGTGGGGGAACACGGCTTGAAGTGGATGTGGGCCTGAAATAGCATCTTTGATTTTTTAAAAATTAATCTGGCAAAGCGAGGTTTGATATAAAGTGGATAATTTAACGACATTTTCCGCTTTTAACTTAAGTAGCATTTTCAACCAAACAAACGTATCTCATATACTATGAACACGACGTAAGTTGAATCATTTATTCGCTGTCTGCATCAGATTGAATACAACCCTGTTTTAGACATTTTCAGGGCACGAAGATTTACGTATTATATCAGCAGCCCCCAATAAGGATACTCCGGATATTTCGCTAGGAATTTCCTGTTGAAGATTTGTTTCTCGGTTCACCTCACATTAACTGTTATCCGATAGCTGAACGACTTTATCCTCTGGCCGGGGTCAGTTCTCGGTTGCTGGATCTGGTTTCTGCCAGCTCCTGATGAACAGTCCGTTGATCTTAGCTAGCTTGGCCAAACATACTTCAGCGTATCCGTTTTCCTTTTAACAAGCTGATTGGTGAGTACGCCACAACATACTGCTTGTTTGCTCCGCTGTGTCAGTATGCATAGTGCATTTAAAAGGGGCCTTCCCTGCCTTCGCCATGAAGAAGCGCACACTGTTATGTCAAAACAAAGCTAGTTAATCGGTCGTTCTGACAGTCGTAAACCAGCACACTTGTTGACGCCTGGACGACCCGTTTTACAAGATGAGCTCTCCCCTCTCCCGTCTGAAAGCTAGGACCCGTTGGATCCCATTATTTCCAAAAGCAATTGCTCTAATAAAGTGGTAACTATCGAGAAATATAAAAGTTCGAGACGCTTTAGGTCTAAAAAAGCCCACACAGTTAAATCAGATGGTGTTGTGGTTTCAAAATATTTGCGCAAAAAGCGAGTAACGACCGGGTCTCTAATGAGGTGTGCAGCCCATTTTGGGGACGGCTAGGAGGCCTGGAACAATTGAAATGAATAATTTATTCGCGATTTAGATGCAATAACTCCATCATCAATGGAAAAATCTTTTATTTGCGCCAGCCTTTTTGTGGTAACTCAGGAATACTCATGTTGGAAAAGTGTTGTCAGCTGCATGATTATCACCCATGCCGTCCATCAGTCCCGCCTCAAAACCAATTTCCACTCGTTCAACTTTTCACGCTCCAGGAAGGAAAGTTCTTGTTTACAAGCACAAAAATAAGTGTTTTTTTCTTAAGTAAAAAAATTATGCAGATAATATATTTCATCTAGTGAATCGTTATGCAAGTCCGATACAACAAAGGGAACTGTAGTAGAATAGGAGAGCCATTGTGAGTTAACTAGTCCTTCTTTTTGAGGACTAGGTAGTAGAGCCAGTAGAAGCAATTATATATCATGAAACAGGAGGGGAAAAGAAAACGACTGTATCCATCGATCGCCG